TTCAGTGATGAGTCCCGCTTCGCCATTGCCTCCGATAACCATCGTGTTCGAGTGTGGCAGTGTGGAAGGTGGATGGCACGTCTTGCTCAGAATGTGGAGAGACGCACAGGCAGAACCCCGGGCACCGTGGTGTGGAGAGCCATGCGTTCAAATCACCTCTAACAGTGCTTCGGCAGACATTCTGCGTCCGCACGTCCTACCCATTATGGCGCAGCACCCTGGGACAGAGTTGCAACGAGGTAAAGCACGCCCACACCCTGCACGTGTGTCTACGGACTGCCAAGAGCATGTTGAGGACCTCCCGAACCTCTCCATCATTTAACACGTGTGCGATGATATTGGACTGGGACTCCGCAGGACCAACCTGCAGGATCTGGAGGAAAGGCTGCAACAACTGTGGACGCACTTGCCTCAAGAGAGGCTCCAAAGGTTTATTGACACCGTTCCGAACCGGGCATGTATTGCAGCAGAGGTGCGACACCCTACTGACCTGGCGCCTGAGTTCTTCCGTCCAATGTGTTATTTAGTTTAATAGTGTCAATTCGTGTTTTAGCATTCATTCGCTTCCAACTATTCCTTCTGGGTGCATCGCTTTTTGTCATGCAGTGTATTTATCCTGTGTAAAGGTTTGAATTTTCACTAGCAATGATTTGTGGGAGAAAAGATGTATTTGATTTTGTTTTGTAAATAAATCATTCAAGAGAATAAATGGCATCTGTTTTTCTTAATCCCCAAAACTCGCAGGATTAGATTCCCTATAATGTTCAGGCACTTTGGAATGAACTATTATTTGATGGAATGGAAGGCTGGACACAAACTAGTTCACCAATCTTTCTCAGGTGAGTTTGCGACTAATTTTTAATTCAGTTTTTTGTGCTAATTTTAATTTCGATAAAGAGATTGTAATTGCTTAGGTTTTGAGAAGTTAATCTACAGTATAAGAGAATATTTGTGCCGATATACGAGAACTTGCATAATGACTTTTTGGGTGTAATTTGTAACTCGGGTGCAAGCTCGTATAAAACCCAACACGCACAGAATAATCAGCAACAATAAAAAGAGTAAACCATGAAACGGAAGATAATAAGATCTTGCAACGGTTACACTTGTTTCGAGCTCCACGTGGGGCCGCCATATGCGACCTTCCCCTACTCTTTAAACCCTCTTTTGGGTTTCACACACTCACACACACCTCCCGGCTGGCGCAAGGGTGTCGAAGCAGTCACCCAACTTCCCTGACTTTGAAGGTAATTGGTACAAAAAATTGATATTCCATTCTCTGTATTTTGACTTCATTTCATCCGTATCAGCTAAAAAACCCGTCCAGGATTCTGTTTTTGAAACTCAGGCCAAATGGGAAATCACTCGATTTGAAATTGAACATAAAGAGAATTCCTGAATGTGAACTGAAGAGCATTTTTTCAATTACCTTGTCATTTAAAAATTGCAAACATATTACATTTCACTTCTTAAAGATGTCATAAAATCGCTTATTTTACATAACTGAGTGTTCATTTCTGTTCTAGTCAACAAACTCACTACTTTTGCTAAGAACTGAAACTGTTACTAGTCTTACAATCACCCGTAAATTTGGCTTAATTGGATTACCAGTTACCCCTACTTAAATGCTTTAAAAAACATTAGTTTGCTACTCAAGCGAAGATTTTCACGGGGTGCAATTCACTTGTATTCTTGTTTCTCATGAATATATTGCTTTCACAATAATTTCTTGCCTTATTAATAATTGTGTTAATTACTAATTATTCTATCATAATAAAACCCAAAGAGATTACTGAATACGCAATTAATGACTGTGTAATTACACTCTGGTCAATCCCTGGAATTTCTTTTAAACTATATTTCACTTGTATGAAAACAGCATGGCTTCCGAAGTCTGTCTTATGTTTCTTTCCTCAAAATTTTACAGAAACCGTAGACCTTACTTCGTTGAACTGCTACATTCCCTTTCCGAATCGCCTTCCGGAGTCTGCTCACGCAACAGTGAGAGGACATTGCGTTTAATTAACCACAGAGCGCAAAGTAATCTAGCGAAAAAGTTACCAGAAAACCGGAATCTAAATTCATATGCAGAATAAAAGATTCTGATTTAAACCAAGAAAGGATTAAAAGGCTGAAAATTCTTCGTCACTGTCTCTGTCATATAGTCACAATCGTATACGCTTTTACTTATAATTTGCATCGTCGTTTCACAGTACATTTACAAGCAGTTACCTCCTCTTAAAGCTTTCCCAGAGCTCGTATGAGCTGGGGTTCCTCGGGATCAAGAGGTTTTCGCCGCGTATTTCAGAAGTGTTCCCTTCGAAGCCGACGAGGGGCGAGTGGGGGCGGCGAAGGCTTCGCTCTGCCACCGCTCCAGACCTTCTGCTCCGCGGCCCCTCAAGTTGTCGGCTCTTCACGCCAGTCGGTGTGGATCGCTCCAGGCGGGGTGGTCGCAGTAGTCGAAGGCAAGGGGTCCTCATTAAGGCAGACGAGTTGTAAGAAATGTGAATTTAAAGTCCTAAAAGTATTATGTGGGGACTATTAGGAGTTAGGTCAAATGGTTATAAAGTGTACATGAAAACTGTAAAAATAATTTTTTAGTGACATTAGTTCACAATATTACTTTAAACTCAATTTTTCGTTGGTTAATCTGGAATGAAATGATAGAGGGTAAAATGGTATTCATTTGATGTATTCGAGGTTGTTTCTTAGGTCAATGAAATCTCCGCTAGTGCACAAAATATGCATGGGTGTTACTGTGGAAATGTCACTCCGCTAATTCCTAGTGAATGTAATTTACATCCAATAAAGGTGTGTGAAAATAAATATGGCGCCTCGTGAATAATTTTATATTTAAAATCGAAACAGAAAAGCAAGTAGGTAATGTGATAGAAATTGGAGACGGAATTATGTTAGTGATGTTAGTAATTTTAGTAGAGAAATTAGAAACTAGGCCAGGACCAGAGGAGGTAACTGGATGATCGAGGAAGGAGGAAATGGAGGGGCGTGGGAAGTCAACAGGGTATCGGCCGAGCATGCAGGCAGTGAGTAAGGTAAGTGAAAAGACATATAGGTAAATAACAGGTTTCATTCAGAAACAAATTACACGCCACCAGCGAAACGAATTGAATTGCACTCTCACATAGCATATATTTTTAGAGATTTGAATTTTTTTAAGGTGTAGGTTTGAAAATATATCACAAGTATTTTTTTTTGTTTTCGTACAATCCCACCCCTTTAAAAAAAATACTAAGTATTTTTCTAAGTAGTAGAATCATGCACGCGCCAAAATTTAAAATACAACAACTTGGAAATACTATTTCATATAGAAATATATAATTACACTAAATTTAACATAAAAAGATGCACTTTAATGTGATGTATATATAATTTTTGGAAAACCTATTTAAATATTTAAAATGTTTTAATATTTAAAATGCAAATTTTTACATGAAGTCAACTTTTAAACACATTGTAAAAATACTCTTCTTTTTATTCACCGTTTTATAGACGTGCCCAATTTCAAACACATAAGTAACACACACTCGTCTATGACACTTCAAAAGTGGTTTGTTCACCGGAGCACGTAGGTAGTCCGCTGCCCACAGGAATCGCTTCTCGAACTACCAATTATGACACGACGCATCGTGCTGTCCAAAATAAACCAACCGTGAGACTTACGGCATGTTATAAATAACAGACACGCACGCTCACAAATGAAAGTATGATGAAATGCGAGTATTAAGTAAAGACTTTATTATTATATTAAAGTATTTGGTAAAGACTGGCACTGCTAGGGTCTGCCTGAAACAGATCAGCCTTCTTTTCCAAATATACAGATTCAGTTGTGTAAACAGAGGAATCTGCGAAATACGTGCGTTGTTCTGTGAAATTAATAACCACAGATGGCCTTACAATAATATCAATACTATTGTGATTAGAATTTTCTTGATATGAAAATTTACAATTGCGGAAGTGTACGTTTAGGTTGTTACAACCATAATTTTTGGGAAATTAAAAATTAACGTTGGGCGTCAAAAAAGTTATTTTGGAAATCCTGATTTTCAATATTTCATCTCGGGAGAATTTCACGAGCACGTGACGAATTGCACTTTGACTGTAAAAATGTGAATGATTTGTTTTAAAAAGTCTAAATATTCATGACAAATGCAATCTGCAGCAATGTCAGCTATATCGTTAAATAACTCACAAGCTAAGCGTTCTGGGGCTTGAAAAACTAAAATTTTGAGGCCGAAGTCCTCAAAGAAACGTTTTTTACATTATAATCTGCAGGATGAGATATTCTTGGACATTCTATTAATTCTTTTCTGGTTCAGTACTTAATAATACTATCAAAGCCACCTGTATTAAATATAGGGAATTTGAAATTTTCAACCCTTTGTAGTGTCACATGTAGATGCTTAGATTGTTGTAGTTCGATCGTACATTTTAATATAAAACAAAATATATAACGGTCGCCAGCCTAAAAGGCAGAGATATGACCGCAGCGCTATCCAGTGACTTAAGCACATGCCAACATATGACAACCTTCAACGACTCGGGCGTGGATCGTTTCCGAAATAACAATACCCATATAGAGTAGAAAACAGGTATCGGGTTAATGAGTCAGCTACGGAAGGTACACTTTCCGTTGCATGGAAACGTTATCAAACTTTCAATAGAAATTACAGTTTATTGGACAAACGGGGTAAATACAAAACAGCAATAATAACAATAATAGTCCCCGTTGTCCTGAAAGTGAACAATTCTAATTAACGGCACTGTCGCTGCATACAAAATTTAACAGCAGTAGCAAAGATTTTCTACAAAAGTAAAAATGAAAAGTTGCCGATTTTCGGTTTAGCTCACACCACCAAAATATTCACATTTACACAGAATATTACGGCGCCGATGGCGCAAAAATACAACATTAACAAAGTCGCCACTTTGCGAACTTTCAGTAAATAATAAACATAACTAAATGCTACACAGATACTTACCGTGTGAAGATTTCAACATTGAGAAATCCAATATGTCAATTAATTGAAAGAAACAATTTTTATACTGAATTTGCTGGCCATTTAAAACACCAGTTCTCGCAATAATTGTACGTCATAGAAGACCATTGTACCAAAAGCCATATAACTGTCTAACATATTTGCTAGGATTACGCTTTTACAAATACAAACATGCGTTCGCCTTTAAATGCAGCTGTCCACTCACGACCTCGTATATTAATGCGTGCCGCAGAGATTTCTAAGGCTGAGACTCGCTACAGTCTTAATTCCTACAGCGGATTATTTTTACACGTAATGCCTTCTGTGGGCGGTGAGTGAATTACAAAGTAGCAGATGAATAATAGAAACTATCGATCGTGAGAGCAATAGCCCTGCTCTCTGAGCGCCAATGGCTGTACTAGACCTACAGAACCATTACAGAGAAAAATATTCAGTTTTAATAGAAACCAGGCAAATAGACAATGTTGCAAATGAAATCGGGGTTATACAATGATTTACGAGTGATTATTGATTATTTCTAACAAGCCAAAGATCACACAGCTTGTGGTTTGATTACAGAAAAATATATAATAGGTGGTAAATTAATTTAATATAATCACCCCTAAAATTTAAAATAAAATATAAATAATAAATTATAAATTAAACATATGGCATAGTTCAACTCAGGACTGAATAATGAATTCGTTCCAACCAGGTTGAGAGATATAGAGCTCAAGGTTTGAGCAGAAAAAAATATTTTATAAGGTCAAGAAACATTAATAAATTTTCATGCCTGTAAATCAATAAAAATAGAAAAACAATCAAAAACCCAAGTGTGGTCACACTGTATATTTCAGAACGTATGTTTCAGTATTGTGAGAAGGCAAGAAAGATGTAAACCTAATATTCAGATTTTCTACCTCATTTGTTTAGACAAAAATAATATATTGAGGTACCCCATTTCTGAGCTTATATACACCCTTTTTAACTTAGATGATGGTATATCCAATACAAATGAAAGAAATCTGAGTGGTTCAATGATTTTTGAGATGTAAAATAAATATTATGAACCTAAATCAGACCTTTTCCTGCTGAAGTATGACATATATTTCTCTATGTTATACCATTTACGACTTGTGTGTACGTCGTGGTTTGCGCAGACTAACGAGGTTTATTTGCATTATTAATCATCCAAGATTCACACTCGCAACAACTAGAAGTACTATTAATAGTTGCTTGATACCGATGAAGATTGTTTCTTATACGTGTGAGTGTACAATGAAGAATGAAGACGTGTGTTGTTAGGTTTGGTCTGTTTTGCCTCGACCAGTAATTTCATTATCAGCAGAGATTCGGTGAAACTTTCAAAACAGCATCTTCACTCACGTAGCTTTCTCAAAAGCAAAAGGTTTTTTTGCCATATTTTTGTGTCTATTAAGAAAAGCTGTCAAGAATATTGGATAATTACTTCGTATATTTTTAAAGAAATGTGAATTGTTCCAAGTAATCTCTCGATAATACTATGAATAAATCTTTATTGAAGATTTCTTTTCAACATGATTTACATTATTTTTATGTGTGTGTGAGTACACTGCAAGTTACCTTCATTCATTTTAAACAGATTAATACGTTTCCTTATCAGCTTCCCCTGAAAATACAAGGATAACGAAGTTTAACATGCAAGAGTTCTCGCACGGGTATACGAAGGTAATAGGAAAAAGCTTGTGCTATGGCACAACACAAAGAACAAACTTTTAAAAGTAACTAACGTAAAGTGGCTTGAAATAAATGAACAAAAAATCAAAACGCGCTAGTATACCATACTACGTGAATGAATTGAAAAAAGCAACCAAATTTAAAATTTGTTGAAAATTGTCAGCCGGCATCTGCTAACAATTGTGGCGTCGTTAACACGAGAGCCAGAACCGTTAGGTCGGTGAATGTGCGCTGCGGGGGAGGAAGGGGTTGAGCCTGAACTTCCGGGAGTTTGCGCTCTGGCGGTTGACTCAGGTAGAGCCGCAGAGCCAAAAATAACCGTAGGCTGTAAACTCCGAGGATGCTAGCCAGCGAGCCTCGCTTACGGTTAAGCAGGCGAGCCAACCTGAGAATCCTGTGTGTGGGCGTAAACCAAGCTGCTGGCCCGCGAGCCTATCTATGGAACAGTGGTGGGGGGGTGTCAGCCTCAACTATTTAACGCGGCGCCATCTGCACCCGCGCTCTCATTCAGTTTGCATCGGGAAGCTTGTACGTGTGTGTACAAGGGGTGTAGGAGTGTGGGCGAGATTTCCGGAGAGTAAGAGCCAGACGATCTCGCGTGCAGTATAGTGATAGTATTGTAATGCCGTGGAAAAAAGGAATTTCTGACTGAAAAACTTATTGAGGAGCTCTGGTAAGAAAATGTGAATAAATTGTGTCCCTGTATACAGCAAATTACTTCCTCTAACGCGTGGAGTCAGAATCCATGTTTTGTGGGTCCTTGATACGGAAAAATCGATTGGCGGCAGAACGTTGTCTGTCTATAAACAATGATTATGCATTAAGCTACTTCAAAGGAGATATTGATTTGGAGTTTATTGTGTCATGTTTACCAAGGAGTTTATTTCTATTTGCAACTGTTCAGAGTGACGGGTGACGGGTAATTTGTTGAATGCGTGGTAGTGCAAGTCCTTGTAGTGCATCTCCTTGAAACGAGGTTCTCTTGAAAGAGAGGGAGGGTTCAGGTCACGAGGGAGGTCGGGAAGGCCCGCGCGGACGCAGCGCGCTGGATCCGTCGCGGACCACTTGCTGCAAAGTGCGTCGGTTGGACTATTAGGTTTCTATCGAACAATGTCACTGAAAGTATTAAAGAACTTTGGTATCACATACTCCCAATTTACAGAAGAGAAGCACAAAGGAAATGGAAATGAAATTTTATTTCAGCGTTGAGTTTTATTATTTTTTAATTCAACAGTCAATAATTAATCAATTATTCTGAATACAAATGAAAAACTCATGATTCGTTTTCCAATACCATTAAGGTTTTTTTTATATTCACATTTTTTCTGCCATTGATCCCAAAATCTTGTTTTTTGGCAATCCTTCGTTGCGTCAATCTGTTTGCGTCGGACCAACTCTGAGACAGTTGAAAACTCTGTGGCGAAAAACGATAGCGCTCAATCCCAGAACTTTTACCGAACTTGATATTCCTCAATCATCTAGCTGATATCGAGGCTCCTTAGGTTTGAAATGGAAATTGAAAATTTTGTCCGTATTGTAATTGCTCAATTTTTTGTACTTTTCTCGAATAACGAAAAGTTTACTTAAAACCTACTCAGATCCAATTTTCGTTGAAATCTATGAATTTTAAAAAGGTATTTATTTAATTTTTTAAATACGAAGTTTTTTTTTCGTTAAGTAGTGATAACTTTTAAAATTACATAATATAAGATTATCTCAATAGCTTCAAATTTTTTTTTTTTAATTTTTACTAGAACTCGTCCGATTTCAGTTAAAGCATATGGATTTCACAAAACTGCAAATGTTCATCTTTCTTTTCAAAGCGTACTGGTTATGCCATCTCAGGCGGTTGATTCTTTGCCACTAGTCCTCAATGGTGAGTTTTTTTAAACTAGGCCTGTATCCTGGACTATGATTACATTCTTAGGTAGATTGGATTTGAGAGTCGGTTTATTCCCATTGTTTCACTGTCTTTTTATGCTAGCCGGGTTCCTAAGCGTAGCGTACCGTTTCATCTATGGTACCAAATTGAACTACTCTAAATTCTAGTTTTTGGTGATCAATTTTCGGTTGAGAACAGTAAACCCAGCCCACCTTTTTAGATTCTTTGAGCCGGCAGAATAAATGACGTAATCATAGTATTTTTAGTTTATATATTTTACGGAGATACGAATTTCTTGAAGATTTGCATTCTGTTTGCTAGGAATGTTCGGAATTCTAATCGTAGTAATGTAATTACCCGAGGTGCATAATCGGGTAGAAACAAAAGCGAATTCTGTCGGATGCGAAAGGCTGTTGAAGCCCTAAGAGCTGACGCTGAGGAGGCCTCGTCGTTGGGGGGGGCGAAGTGGGTGTCGGCGGAGAAGGGGAAGAGCGTCAGGTGAAGGGGGTACAGTGGTGGAAGGGGCGGTGTAGCGGAGGGCGAG